ATATGCTACTAGAATATATCTGTCCTATAAATTGGAAGACTTACTATACCAGATATCATTTTGTTGAATGTCAGAAGGATGGAGCTCTTTATTCACAAGGTCAGAATTACAAAGTGAAATACAAAAAGGGATTTAAAGATTCCTAATATCTGCCTAGCCAGCAGCCCATATCATTTTGTATTTTTCTTTAGAAGCTGCCCAACATTAGGCTACTTAGAACAAGGTATAATAAACCCCATGAGGAGAACTGATCTGTCCATAATCTTTTACATACTAAAATATAGTGATCTATATTATCTTGTGTAGATTTATTCCATTTTTAAATATATCTATGCCAGAAGTGTGAGTTCTGTGCATCTCTTAAAATTTTTGAATAGCAAGAACATATTGAAATTTTTACATTTACAAGCTACGTGGCTGTTTTCCAGAGTCACTTTTGCTGAGCAGTGCACAATATGCCATTTCAAATTTTTATTGATTATTCCTCCTTCTTGTATTATGGGACAAATTGTAGTGGAACATCTGCTTTACTGTTTATAGCTCATTCATTATTTCCTCTAAACTCTTCATCCATTACTTACCCTTAATAATTTTAAATAGCCCCCAATTTTCAATTTCTTTTGATATAATTTTTTCTCTATAGATTTAATTTGTTCCTTGTCTTTGATTCAATTTGGTTCTTGCTGTATATATATTGAGTTCAGGTGTCTAGAGACATGTTCAAGCTGAAAATCTAAAGTTAATTTATTTAATGTTTTAGCACTTTTATATTTGTTTCTATTATGTTATATTACACAGGATTTAATTTCTGACCACTGCTACACTTCAAATATTTTCTTTGGCTGTCCTAAGATTTTTCCCTCAAATGTTTACATTTCATTTTAGTATCAAACTTAGATGTATAGTTTTTTATTATTTCTTATTCTTGTAGTATAAAATATCTTATTTACTACCATAACAATGTCTGAGACAGCAATCATTAAAGCCTGTGAAAACATACATATTGGCTGGTTGACTCATCTGCTCTTTAAAAAGGATTGTGTTTCTCTCTATCTCATTTGCCACCATGTGCACCAAAGAATGCAGAATTCCAGTTTTATATGCATTCTTTGAAAAGTGGTGGCTAGGTTCTGGACACGACCCAACCTCTAAATCCTCAGTACAAACCAAAATTGAGGTTCTGATACCTTTAATTAGGCTTGCAGTCAAGTCTTTCAAGGTTCTTTCCATTAAAAGAATAACACAAGTTTTGGAGTCTGGTGGCAATTTCTGAAGCATTACAGTTAATTATTGTTGGTGTAAGGCAAGTTCTTGATAGAAGACCAACACATCACGAGTACCAATTAATCTTTATCACTGTCCTAGACCAGGAGAGAAAGGCAATTCTGGTAGCAGAGAAGCTAAACAGCCTTCTGTTGATGAATGTCTGTTTTCATCTACCTTATGAAAGTCCAAGATGTTCAAGGTCCTAATTTAAATCACTGAAGCAGAATGTATAAAGTTTGGTAGCATAAACCCAGTCTTTGTTTTCCTTTCTGCAGGGGCATTACTACAATACAATTGAGTGAAGACAAAAGGAAGGAGTTGGAGAGTGATGTTAAAATTATACACCTACTGGCTGTGGTTATTTTTGCCAAAATAATAAAAAGGCAAGTTAGAGTAATAGTAAATTCCTGCTATGCTACACCCAATCTAAAAGTAACATTGTTTCTATTACTACAACTGCTTCATATTCATTTTTAATATAAAATCACGAAGAAAAAAAAAAACAAAAGAAAAATTACAAAAACATACACATAAAGACAAAACTTATAAACTTAATTCCAGAATTTAAAATGCATCAATTCTTGGGTAAGCAGTCTTCCCAAAACACCTAACAATTTTATGTCCAAATCCTACAGGTATTCATTTTCTCATTTGAGAAACACCACTGGACATAGTCCAGCAGATTACTTTATACCATGACTCTTGTTCTTCAAGAACAACCAAGAGAAGCTTCCCTTTCTTTTTCATGCAGTCATTTGTTAGACATTTCTTCTAGCGATGGGGAATTTGGGATCATTTATTTCCAAGAGAACATGCTACGCATAAGACTATGGATTTTTCTCCAGCGCACCTCTCACTGAGTGCCAAAAATTCCTGGACTGCTAACAGAAACTATATAAGCATTTTTGTTGACTGAAATATTGTTAAAAAAATTCCTCCAACCTTTCTGCCTTTTAGGGACTGATGCAAAGATTTTTGAAATGCATTCATTACTCTTCCAATGATTTCTATGACCTTTTGACCATTTTCTTGGAATAGTTTGAGGGAATAATTAATCTGTGATCAAATAGATAAAATCCTGAAGGTTTCTTAAGCTACATGCTAGCACCTCAAACAAGAACATATTCTTCACTGAATTCAGTGGAGAATCCAGAATAAAATCTGAGTTAATTATTGAAGACTGAGACCTGAACAGGGTGCTGGTACAGAAGCTTTTGTCGTTACTTAATTTTACTTTATTTTCCTTTCTCTGGTTTTGAAGTATTGAAGTCACAAATTATAGCATCTGCTTTTAATCAGAAGTATTTTTTACTATTTACCACCTCCTGGCTACTTTAGCTTTTCTTCTTGCATGAGAGATAAAATGCTTAACCACTGTAAATAATATGTCAGAACCATACCCATTCATCTGAGAATTGCAAATCTCTTTATCTGCTTCTTCTCTCATTTATATTAAACTCACACTCATAAGGTTTTAATTCCTTCATTAAACTTCCTTTCAAAAGGAATTTTTCAAATTTTCTTTGCCATGAACAAATAATACCATCCTGTTGCCATATCCTTTGCCACCTTTTCTCAGCACCCAGAATCAATACAAAATTCAATAGCTAATATATTGAATTGTTGGGAAAAGCAACATAACCCATGACAAGGTCATTCTTTCCCTCTCAGGCTGCCAAACATACACAAACAGTGGCCAGCAGTGAGGACAAGGAACACCTTTGGATCCTGCCAGGCTGCTGTGGTGCTTGACCACAGTGTACATGTCAACACACGGAGCACGGTGTGCAGGATAAACACACACGTGATTGTGCAGACACCCATCCAACCTGGGCTGTTTGCCACTGCACTCATTTACTGATTATTAGAGCTATTGACTTTACAGACAATAAAATAAAATGTTTTTTCTCTAGCAATATTTGATCGTAATACTTCTTTTTAGATATGTCTTGAACTGGAAAATATGATTTTCAGGAAGCAGTACAATTACAGAGATATGCACATTTGGGTCTTCAAAACCACTTCTCGGCCATTTACTTGCTTTACAGGAACCTTTTTTACTGGTATTTAGAGACTCTTAGTTTTTCAAAGAATCTTAGGTGGATATTAAATACCCTAGGCAAAAACGGTTCGTCCCTTTACCAGGAGCAAATACTTCCAGCAGAAAAAGATTTGAAGCAACAGATGAACTTCTCTGTAAGTACTTCCAAAATTGTGGTTTTATTAATGTCTTTCATCTCAGCTGACAGGATAATTAATCATAATTATAAAGATAACCTGAGTTTGTGAGGCTCGCTCTGAAATAGTCATGAAATTAATTTCTAGATGGCCTTTGTATATACAGCAGGGTTTTCAACACTTGTGAGAGAAAATGCCTCCACTGAACACAAATATTGAAAATGACACTCATCTTTTCTCTGGCTAAAAAAGAAATTTGACCAAATAAACAAAATACAGGTCAGATTTTCAGCTGCATAATTTCGAGAATGCCAGCAGTAAATTACTGTGCTGAACAGCTATATAAATATGTATATGTCATGGAAGCATGTATAATTTCCTAGAAATTTTGTCAAATACTTACTATACTATCCAACAGGTAGAAGGAATTTATTATCAGAATCGATTTTAGAGAAGAGAAACATCTCTGTGTGCATAGGATTTACCTGCTACTGGCTTTGTATCCAGGGCAGAATGTCATAAAAGCAGCCCATTAACACTGAGCTTTTTCAGTGTCCCAGAACTGGGACCGCAGCCTTCACAGATGCTCTGCTCAAGGCAGGTTCTCTTTATGATAAATGCAGAGAAACATGCATTTTTAAGGTGTAATTCATCTGGCTTGTTTAAAGCAGTCACTTTAAGATGTGATGAATCATACCTTAGACTCCATTGGCAGTACTAATGAAAATTCCTTAGCTGTAAAGGATGTCTATGCTGACTGACTTAGACAAATTGAGCCCAAGAAGCTTAATATGGTGTAATCATTATGGTTTCCATTAGCAATTGTGCTAAGCCTCGCTGTATACATATGGGCAATTATACTTTTTGAGAATTAAGGCACCTAAAATTAATAAGCTTTCTCAAAGTCTGGGAACCTTGACTTTTCAGTGAAGGATAGACAGGCATCAGAATGAAAGCAGGTGTCTTTTGGCAATATTGGTTTTAATTTCTCTGTGTGTCAGCTGTTACATATATAAATTGTGAATTATAATGTTAATTTTATTATTACCTGGTTTGTCTTTATTCATGCAGATTTATAAAGTGCTTGCTAAATGCAAAATGATACAAATGCCAAGTATTATTAGCTGTGTTATTTCTCTTTATTACTGTCACCTACTTATATGTATTTTCAACTCAGTTTAAATTTTCACCCCCAGGTCATATTTCCATTCTAACTACATTAGATATTTAACTGTCCATCACTGTGCCATGAGCCCTCTGAATTTTCACATCAGTACATTTGTGATTCAGAGCATATCCCACAATGCCCTTTTCCGTTCTATATTGAATGCGCTTTCCATATGCTATTAAAGATTCAGCATCACAAGCTATCATTTTATTAATTTTAAGACACTTTTTTTATCAACAGATGAACAATCATGATGATTAAAAATGCTTCTCCTCTCAAGGGCTTGTACAGTATTTTGCATTCTCTGGCATGTTGATTAGTTATGTTGATTGAAAATGAGTGAAAAACAGAGACAACTTATTAGCCAGTTTAGTTAGCTGCTACTTACATTAATGAAAACGTCTGGATGCATGCCCATTAAGGATACTTGGGAGATCAGAGGTTGGGAAGTGATTCCTTTGCTTCTCTCTGCTGACAGCTTGGAAAGAATCATGCCCAAGAATGGCTGCTGAGGCATGCACAGCCTCCAGAAGGAAATGCTGCTGCTCTGGAGCCCAGTCCAGAACAGAGCACCGAGAGGAGGGGAGCCAGGCTGGGTGGGTGTCTGCAGCACCCTCTGAATGCTGGCACTGCAGGTGCTGCTTTGGCAGTAGAAATATTTATCAGCAGAAACAGAAGCAGCAGCTCTTCTGCCACTGCTAACAATACAAGGCTTGCTTTCATTGCCACAGAGGAAACGATGGAAATAAGGGAGAGCATGGAGCTGCCTTTCTGAAGGAGAGCTTTGGGCTTTTTCTTCACAATTTATTTATTTATGGGGGCAACTGAGAGTGCCTTTAAGGAAGCAAATTTCTTCCATATATGTATTTCACTTCAGCTGATGGCAGGGAGCTTTGTACTGAGCACAAACCCCATTCTCTCAGCTGTGTACAGCTTGTAGGATACACTGGTGGCCCATGGTGGGGGAGGCAGGGAGAGGACAGAAGAAATGCTGCCAAGGTTTTTCAACGTTTGGAATTGCAAGGATAAAAGCATAAAGTGATTTGCCCAAGGTGATGCAGTAAGTGCCAGGAACCGAATCCAGATCCTCTGAGTCACAGCCCAATGCCTCAATCAGCTGACCGTGTTTCCAAGCATTTGGCTTTACAAAATCATTTGGCCTGATTTACTGGCAAAGTCATACGATAGTGAATTTTCCCACTACAAAAAGTCAATGACCTAAAAAAAAAAAAACCAACAAAAAAAAAAGAAGGCATAGCTTTTCTCTTTTTTTCTCTGTTAACTGGAAGTGTATCATACCTGAGCAATACAGCAAAATAAATCTGAAGAGAAAGGAAGACAATAGAAACCAGTCTTACTGGTAATTTGTTATAAGGAACTGTGCATAAAATAAAAAATCAAGGATATTACCATCAGAAAACGGCCTGTTACTTGCCTGCTGCCACTTGGATAATGAGAAAGGGCTAAGAAAGAGTTTGGAGGACTTTGCTTGTGATTCTTAGATCACTGATTCTCCACTTTGTTTCTCCATTTTCTTTAATTCGTTCTGAGCAAATAAACCAGATTCGGTCCTGACCTTGCTCTAAATCTGCAATCCACCAGAATTTCTGAGGTGTTTAATCATATGAACTCTGTAATGTCCACATACCATGCTATTTTATTTTTTTCTATTCATTCACATTTTGATTTTTTAAAATACATATATATATTAAATATCAAATTCTTCCACTCTTGTGGGCTTTGGCCAGGTACACAAATGTTACCTCTTTCTGACACTTAGAGTTAATGCTGTCATACTGAACAAGTCAGTGCATATCTGTGGGTTTAAACACAGATCTGCTGAATTAGCACTGGAAAATTCAAATAGTTTCCATTTGTTTCTACTTACTGTCCCAGTAGGAAAATGGATATTTTACTGTTACTGTGAAAAGCAAGATGAACTGTGCTATTCAGTGCCTAAACTGAGGAGAGGTACTCAGTACATATTTTTCCTTTACAACCCAGTTCCAAGCCTTATTTTTATAGCGTAACTGCCCAAAAGTTGCACCAAAGAGATTCTGCTAGAGGGGCACTATATCAAAGCCTTTTGACTATCAAAGCCTACAGGTTTTATCCCTTATGGATGGTGATGGTGATCTCCAGAGAAGAGCTGCTGTCTGGAGAGGAATCTCATACTCCACATCACTGGTGTACAGCATAGATGCATTGCAGTTTTAATCACTGAAATTCATAATATTTTCAGCAGGGGACAAAATTTCTGTCATGACATTCATAGGCATCTTTTGAGATATTTGAATCTGACATTCTTTAGTTAGGTTGATGGACAGGCACTAGCACATAGGAAAACTGAGGAAAAAAAACACCCCTCTCCTGTGGTATTCTGTTGAGAAGTCACAAGTATATAAAACCAGCACATGTCCTCCAGCTCATAACATGCATTATTTCAATGTCTCACCTGCTCATTGTATTTACTAAAACATTTACTATGCAAAGTGTTTAAGTCTCTAAGTGTAGTGACAGCATTCACCTTCTGAGATCCTATTAAAATCCTCATCCAGAGAGAGAAAACACAAACAGCAGCAACCCAAATATAGAAGTGGAGTGAGTAATTGTGTCCTTAGCTGTGGCTAAGGTGGTTGATATAGCTCCTGGAGAAGAAGATAGCTAAGTATCAACTAGAGAGATTAAATTTTCTTTTTCTCCTTTCTTTTAAGAAGGAAGCTTATCCAGCAGGCAACTATCAGGCCAGGTGATTAACAGTAAATAACTCTGCTTTTTCAAGTAAGCTTGCACACATTGAACCTCTTATGTACAGAGTACCCTAAACTCCTAATGGAAATACTTCATCTGTCTGTTGGTGGTTAAAGGAAAGTTCACAGGATTTACAGACTTAGAAAAAAACAATGTGATGGGAGAGTTTTATTATTTAGACATGTCCACAAATCCCTAAACTGAGCTAGAAAAAACTTTGGATAATTTTGAACATACCTAATATGATCAGGGGGAGATGCTCTATTTCAGCATGAGAATTCTTTTTTTTTTTATTAGATTTTAAGTGATTATAAGTCCATATAATAAAACATTATGAAATTATGTATAAAGCAAGCTGGAGATACTTTGAGTTAAAAGAGCTTCAGATCCACCTCTGATAGAAGAGAATGGAAGAATAACCCTTTGTCATCTGCCCATATCAAACCAGGATTTTCTGTAGGTTTAAAAAAACTGAGAGGAAGAATATTCAGGAAGATCTTTATAGTTTTATTGTCTTGCATTGCATGGCAGCACACAAGAGAATACAAAGAGAAGTGGGCCAAAAGCCATGTTCATGTAATCCTGAGCTAGCAGGCAGTAGATCAAATTTATACCTAAAGAATATGCTTCTCAGATAACAATAAAAAAGTGTGTTGTAAATTAGCATGAATATTAAGCATGGTAAGATAAAAACACATCTCATTTCTGAGTACAAAAATATCATTGTCTAATTTCCGCTGAAATGTGTCATAGATGTGCCTTTTATTCAGCATTTTGAAATAAAAATGGATAATATTACACTTCTCAATAGTATAGTTATGCAATTCAATGGGGGATGAAATGTCATGATTTAATAAATAGGATAAAGATTAGTAAAATAATCTAATCACTATTCTCTCTTATTTTCAGTCATCACTGGGGATGGAAAAGAGCAGGAGAGGAAGATTAATTTGAGGCTTTATGCAGATATGGGTCAGTAGCCCACAGCTTTCCTAGTTTTTTTTTGTAAGTGCTAACATGCTTCAGCACAGAGAAGTTCACTGAGAATGAGACAGTGATTGTAAATGAACCATACACTTCTCTGAGCAAGCAGCAGTGGGAGTGTGTGTCTGCTTGCACGTGGCACCCAGACACTGTCAGGTCTGCTCTGCTCCCAAGGAGAACAGAGGGTGCTTCTGCACTGCCTGTAAACAAGTAGTCTTGAGTAAAATTTTTGTCTTGGATGCTCTGCCTGGATTTAGGCATATTTAGAACTAGCTTTGAGATGCCTTTTACAGTCCTATGCTCCATGGGCTCCTACAAGGTCTGGATGGACTGTCCTCCCTGTCCCATATTGCTCCACAGCCATTTCACACAGCCACAGTCAGACAGAGAGGAAGAAGCCTGATCTTGGACTAGTTTCAAGCTCGAGCTCTCAGATGTTACCTAGGTGTCTTCTAATATGCATTTCAATCCTGCTTTGGAACTATAGCCCTCCCATTGATCCCCAGCTTCTCGGAGGTCCATAATTTAGTAAGAACGAGCTGTGGTAAGTAGGGCTGTGTGAGGCTCTGTCTCACTGTGTATTTTCTCAGAGGAACATGTTGTCTGAACGCCTACACCACTATTCCAGGCACCAGGCATGTTGAATTAATTGCAGGCATATGATGGCACCCAGATGAGTCAGTGATCTCAGCAGCCACATACAATCCCTTCTACTTCCATGCAGCCTGGATCTGATCTCTCAGCAGTTTTGGTCTGCCCTGTGCTATACCTGACTGCCCCCATTATCTCTGTGTGGGGAGTCAGATACACAAAGTACCAGAGTGTTCTCACATGAACTGCTGTTAACAGACAGCATTATTCCTGCCTAAAAAATATGCCTGTAGCTGATCTCTTCGCACTTCTCCCCACACACACATTTTTAGGTTTTCATCAGTTATTCACTGTGCAGCCTCAGGTTTCCATCAAGTCTGAAAGTCACTGCACAGTCTAGATGCTTGTGAATTTATCATGTTACCTTTTTAGCCTCTGGCCTAAAGATTAAAAGCTCCTTCTGGGTTCACTTCAGTCCTAACAATGTAGCTGCATGATACATTTCTGTTCTGTCTCTGTCACCAGTGATGACAGGAACTTAACAAGGGCAGGGTGCTGAGTCATAAAATACACCTAGAGCAAATTCAGGTCTTAGGAGAAAAACTAGGCTGGGCATAGAAAAATTGTTCTGCTTGAAATTTGGGTTAAAAGTCATTGTCATCATAAATTCCCTAAAGTTAGGGTAGAGATGGTTTATTTAGAAAGTATTAGCTGCAATTGAGGTGCAGGCACTGACAGACCTCTCTGGGTACAATTTTGGTGAGAGATCAGAAGAGCTGCTTTATTTATTGCTAGTAAGTATTATTCCTTAACATTCATCACAACCAGACCCAGGTGTATGCAAAGCAAGCCACCTGTTTTTTCCTGTCTAATATGCCATGCTTATACATCACTTACTGAATAAAATAATGGTGCTAATTGCTATAACAGCCTGACCTGTGCCACACTTCCCAGGCAGAATCTGTGGCCCTGTGAGGTGTCAACTAAAGAAGGAGAATGCTGTGACAGAAAAGCCAGAGGCAGCAAGTTATGAGGCAATTTGGAGAAAGAGCAGGGAAAAGGAGAGGTAAAAAGGCTATGGCTCTGCTGGTGCCATTGCCTGAAGCAGTGGGTTGGAAACCCAGGTCATCCCCTGCTGTCAGTGAAAAAGAAAGGAAGGTTTCCACTAAGACA